CCCCAAAACCCCAAAACCCCAAAACCCCAAAACCCCAAAACCCCTTTCATAATTTATAAAATTGAAGAATAGAAAATGAGCGATCGAGGAAGCTCGTCAGAACCACCTAGTGCAGACTCAGGTGATGAATCAAGTAGCCAAGAGAGGATGGATAGCATTAGCTCAAGCGGAGTCCAAAGTGAAGTCAGCTTATCAAAATCTTACCAAGAAGCCAACCCCTCACAAGACCAAGAAGATGAGAAGACCTCGTCTCCCCTAAAATCCAAGAAGGGGGCTGATCCTTCCGTACAAGACCCTGAATCTGATAAAGAGTCTATGAAAGCTATCAGCATTGAAGACATTGAGATCAAGAAGGCCGATCCTGAAGAAGCCAAAGAGAAGCCAAAAGACCCTGAATCAGAAAAATTAGAAGATGCTGAAAGAGAACAGAGGCTAAAATAAAAACCAAGATCTTCTCAAGAACATCGTTGATGGCCATGAAGACCAAGATCCTGACTCTATTGAAGAAGATATAGAAGTTGCGAGAGGAATGACTGAAAACCTGAGGGCTAAGAAGTCAGAACAACTTGTGCTCGTGGATATCTCCAAAGAAGATGAGGACAGAAATGAAGATGAGAAACAACCAGAAAATAATGGAAAAGCAGATATTGGGATGATCACGAAAGCTGTATCTAAGTTCAAAAAGAAAAATACGAAAAAGAACGGGAAAGAAGAGGAATCTTATGAAGAGTTCGTCAGAAAGAAAACTATGGTTAAGAGTAAGACAATAGTATCTATTTTTAGCTGAGAATGGACTCAACTATTCAGCCATGAGAGACAGACTGACCAAGCATCATCCCCATATGATAAAGGATGGAGAGAAAGTTAGGTACCCTGTATGAGCAACCAGGACAGGGTGGAGTAGTACAAACGAGAAGAAAAGATTCACAGACCTAGCCGACCTTGGAGTTGGGGTTTCACTTTACTTTAAATTCACCAAGTACATGATGCTTTTGTTTCTATTTATGGCAGTCATTACTCTTCCACATATGATATTTTATATCCTTGGTGGAACAGAAGATTTTGAAAATAGTTCATCACTTACAAGTTTGTTTGGCCTAACAACTCTTGGAAACCTTGGATCAGCAGAGACGATGTGAGACTCTACAGACAGCTTTACTCATTCTGTGTATGTCTTTTGTACTTCAGGTACCTTGGATGAAGTAGAGATATTAGGAAAAGAGCATTCAGAAGGATCAACATGCTCTAATAAAGGTGAAGATTTGGAAGTAGATAACAGCTGTGATTACAGAGATTTCTCCAGCACAGACAAAGCCAATGTAGATAATTCTTTCTCCTCCCAATGCAAGGGGTCCAAGAGTTGCTCTTTTAATCTTGGGAGCATAACCTTCCCTTCTAGTTGTACGGGAACTCCTTTTATTAGAGTGGCATGCAAGTCAGAAGAGATTGTTGGAATCAAAAAGAGCTACATCAGTGTTGGCTTAGTAATTCTAGATATTATCTCCACCTACATCTTCTGGTTCTTTCTTCAGAGACACGGTAAATTTGAGTACCTTGAGGAAGATGAGATCTATGGCTCTGCTCTTACAGGTAGGGATTTCACTGTGATGATCAAGAATCTCCCCAAGGATGAAGATCCAAGAGTTCTCAAAGCGAAACTGTGGGCATTTTTGGAAGATCTTCTAGAAAAACACTCCGACAGAGCCATCAGACTTGCTGATGACCCAAATGCTCACCGAATAGTGGACATCAATTTTGGCATGAGTGATTATGGGGTCATGCATTTCTACCTAAAGAGAACTGAACTTTCCAAACAAGAGGCAATTCTTAACATCAAGATCAATATCGTGAGTGACACGAAAATGAAGGAAAAAGACAGACAGAAAAAGATTAAAGCGTTGCAGAAAAAGTTGGCAAAGGTGGTTAAAGCAAAAGATAAAAATGAAATGAACTATACTAAGTTTAAAGAAACCTGCTCTCAACAAGTCGTCAAGGCCTTTGTGACCTGCCAGAGTATGGAAGGAAAGCTCAGGCTTCTCCAATTGTACAATATCAGCAGGACTGCTAAGTGCTGCAATAAATCAAAATTAGAGGATAGAAAGTTTGAAGGTAAACTTCTGGATGTCAGACATCCCACTGACCCTTCCCTGATTCTTTGGGAAAACCTTGGCGTTAGTAGAAAGCAGAGGTGCATCAGGATATCCATTGTTGCCTTAATCAGTTTCCTTCTGATGATAGCAACCTTCATTATCATTGTTTTTAGTAAAAGCGTAGAAGATGGTCTTAGAGAAGATTACGGGTCTGGAAGCTGCCCCCAATTTACAATAGATCAAAGCGCAGCTTTAGAAGACCAAAATAAGCCCTCCCAAGAAAGAGCAGGACTAATGCATTGCTACTGAGTTCAAAAGTTCAGTAGTAAAGGATATGGAGTAAGGAGCATCCAATTCTCAGATGGAAAGAAATATTGAGACGACTGGGCGGTAGAATATAGTCTCAATAACGCACTCATTTGGGCAGTTGTCTTTATGATATCAACCATCAATGTCTTTCTAAAAGTGATACTGAGAATCATCTCCGTACATGAGAGGCGCCATGACAAAACAGACTTAGTGATTTCGAATACATTTAAAATGTTTTTGGTCCAACTCTGAAACACTACGATTATTCTCTTAGTGGTTAATGCAAAAGTAGGCTTTATGCCATCATGGTCTCCTATCTTCAATGGAGAGTACGAGGATTTCACAACCAATTGGTATAAACAAATAGGAGCTTCTATAATCCTCACAATGCTACTTGGGATATTCTCTCCTCATTTAGCTAACTCCATGTATTGGCTCGCAGCAGGATTTAAGAGATGGAAGGATAGATACTTTACATGAAATCAGAGAAAGACTAAGCAAATCTTCCAGGCAGATTATGAACAAGTCTATATGGGAGCTGAGCTCTTGTTTGAATACAGATATTCAACACTGATGACTACGATATTTGTATCATTGATTTTTGGAACTGGTATGCCTATTTTATACACATTCTCATTCTTCTCTTTATTCATGGCATATTGGGTGGATAAGTGGACACTGCTTAGAATTTACCAAACCCCTCCAAGATATAATAAAGATCTTAACAAAACAGCAAGAGAATGGGTAAATGTCGGGATCATTCTCCATTTCATGTTTGGTTTCTGGATGTACAGCAATTCAATCATTTTTGGAACAAAGCAAGACTCTATCTTCGGAATTGACATCAGATCAACTACAGATGATATAGATGAAGACTACCCTTGGCTAAATTTGGGAGATAGAGTTGCACAGTACCATATGGTAATCTACCTACTTGCATTTATTCTGTTCATCGTAATCTTTATCCTAAAAGCCTTTGTGTTCAAAACCTTGCACAAATGTCTTGCTTGCTGAAGGAAGAACAAGGCTGATAAATTACTAGGATTCATGGAAGACGAATCGAAGACCTTCTCTAACAACTACTTTGAGTGCTTACAAAAAACTGAGTACAACAACCTTAGTGTTCATTTGAGAGAAGACAGGAGATTATTAGCCCAGTTCAAGGAATTCTTAAATACAGAAGAAGGAAAGCAAGAGGACTTCTCTGAAGAAGATATTAATCAAATACATTGGCTTCTAGCAAGACTTGAAACGAAGCGTAAAGATGCAGAAATGGTGTACAAGAACAAGGATAGAGATGGGACTATAATTATCGACCCTTCTTATGACATTAGAGATCTAAAACCTTACAAGTTTTATATCAGCAAGTTGCAGAAGGATCTATATAAGAATGCTCAAGATGCTCAAAAAGAGGCTCATAAAGAATAATTAGTATTTTCAAGTTAAATCTCCAAAATAGGGGTTTTGGGGTTTTGGGGTTTTGGGGTTTTGGGG